ACCCCACTCTGTCTCTGGTGAATCCTCTCACCCTCCGCATCTCTGGCCTGTACCCCAGTTCTGTACGAATAAATAAATAAATCTTAAAAAAAAAAAGATTTATTTATTTATGCATCCAGAACTGGGGTACAGGCCAGAGGTGCAGGGGTGGTGAAAGGATTCACCAGAGACAAGGCGGGGAGCAGAACAGGCAAATCAACAAAGTACACTGCTGAGGGGAGCAGCAGGGAGACAGGCGAGGTCTGCTGCCATGTGGTCACCTCCTGGCCAGGACTTGAACTTGTGCTGAGGTGGCTGCAGCCAGCTTTGCAAGTGCTGTACTTTAGCCTGTTGTACCCCCAGGGCGGGCCCATTTCCAGTTTTTAAAGGGTAGATTTGAAGGAGCCCAGAGGCCTAAGGGAGACTCTCAGATGCTTCAGCAGAGACAAACAATGGATGTTGACCCAGATTCAGAGGTGAAAGAGCGTGGAAATGGGCAGGCCAGAGGTGCCCCTTCTTGCTGGAGAGCAGAAACTGGACTTTCTGCTCCCTGTGTTTGTTCTGGGCAAACACATGCTGTCCCCTAAATTACTACCTGCCTAAGTCCACAGCGCTGGCCAGGCTCGCCTAAGGTACACTGTAAACCTTGCTAATGCCAGGTTATCTTATAAACTGCCGCAGTGTGGAAGGAAGTAGAGAAGGTTGAGAAGGGAACATCTGATGTTGACCTTGGTCACATAGTTAAGGGGGAGAGCTGGGAATCACCCCAGCTATCTGCTTTGGACTGGAGTTCCTTCCCGGAGAGGGTGTGGGCTTAAAAGAGGAGGCCAGGAAGGGAAGGAGAGGGGGTTTCTCTGGGGCTAAGAGAGTGTCTTTATTCCAGAGACTCCAAGCGCCCCAAATACTGCATCGAGCTGAGTGCCCAGCCTGTGGGGCTTGTGCGTGTACACAAGGTCCTGGTGGTAGGCACCACCCAAGACAACCTGCAGGGCTTCACCTACAAGGTAGGGCTGTGGGCAGCACCATCCCCCCGCCCACCCCGTGGGCACCTCCCCTTCCTCCCACTCCAAGCCCTGAGCCCACCGCAGACTTGTGGCTGGCCCCTGCAGGGTAAGCGGCTGTGGACCGTGCAGATGCCTGCGGCCATCCTGACCATGAGCCTCCTAGAGCAGCACTCCCGGGGCCTGCAGGCTGTCCTGGTGGGGCTGGCCAACGGAGAGGTCCGCATCTACCGCGACAAGGCCCTGCTCAACGTCATCCGCACCCCGGTGAGCCGCAGACGCCGCCTGCGCCCACGTCCACCTCGGGGCGCCTTAGCTGCCTCCTCCACCATTCCTTGCAGGCACAGGCCCTGTACTGGGGGCAGAGGGGCCACAGCC